GCTAGAGTAATTTTTTTTGGGAGAAATTTGAATTTTTAATTGTTGTAAAAATAATGATAAATAATAAATAAACCATGTTGCATATTAATATATAGACATGACGCCATTACTATTACACATGTCTTTTATTTTCTGGTATTTACTATTACGGTATTTACTATTACGGTATTTACGGTATTTGCGGTTTTACGGTTTTATGGTTTTACGGTTTACGTTATTTACGGCAAATAATACGGCACATGCTGTAACCGTATTATTTCTGTTTGGGAATTCCGACGACAAGTATAAATCAAACCGTGGACTAGTGCGTTAAGTAAACATGTTTTTAAAAGTTAATTTGCATATAAATTTAAAGTCTGTCGAGTTTGCATTATTAATGAATTTAGGATGAAAATTTTAAATTCCGTGATTTTTATGAAAACTTTGAGCTTAGTAAAAAACTTCAAAACTCCGTTGAATCGTGGATTACATCATTATGATTAAGTAAGTCCGCTTAAAATATCTTGAATTATATATGGTTAAAATTTGAGAAAATTTGATCGAGTATAGACAACAAAACGTAAAGCCTTAAAATTTGCATTTTGTCAACTTTATTAAGTGTTTATATAATAAAATTACGGGGTGGTAGGATACTTTTTTAAACCCTTTTCACGAACTAATTTATGCCAACACTATATTGCGGATATATGTAACCTGTTACGTTGAGCACATTTTATTAATGAAGAAATTTGACCTTTATTACATGTAAAGATTCCGATTGAAAATTTGCTTTTTTGGACTATTTGCTAAATGCTTCCATTAATACTATACCGAACCTTTCGAAGCTTTTGTAATTTATAGATTTTGATATCAAGTACAAGTCTACTTGGTAAAGTAAAAACGGTTTTATTTAAGAAAACGTTACTTTTTTTAGTAAGGACTCTTTTCATTTGACATTACACAACTTGGGTGGTCGGATATTTATTATTATGGTGAGTGTATAATTAGGAAAGAAAATAAAAGTTACATTTTATCACCAAGAAAGCATTATTATTATATATATTATTATATTATTATATTATTACGTTATTATATTATTATATATTATATTATTATTATATTTTATATTATTATTATATTTTATATTATTATATTTACTATAATATTATATTTTATATTATTATATTATTATTATTATATTGTTATATTATTATATTTATATATTTTACCCATTCAAACTACACTTCGGCAAGTTAAATTACTTTTATAATTTATAATATATAAAAAATCAAATCATATACATTACTATCATTATCAATGTGACTACCGACTGCTTCTTTGTCATGAAGATTTGATGGTAGTAGAGTTTTCTTCATCAGCATTACCACAACGTTCTTTAACAGCCAAGATTATTTCATCAATAAGCTGACGGAAATCAACTTTTTGTTTTTCTGATGATATTTTTTGACCCAACCTAATAGCAGATGCGCCGAATCTTAATTCACGTGGTGAATGAACTAACAACTTTGCATCTAATGATTCGTTGTGTGTTTTTAGATCTTGAATTGGGTAGACAAAATGTTTTATGCTGGTATTTTGATTAGTTGTTAGGAGACTGTGTAATGACATATAACCATCAATCCCAACCTGATAAATATAAAATATCAATTAAAAAAAAATTTTTTTTAATTAAACAAATAATAGTGATGATAATAATAATAATAATAATAATAATAATAATTAAACCAAATATTACCTCATTTTGGTCAATATTTAAAACCTCTAATTTATCATTATTTTTTAATGCTTCACTTAAAGTTTTAGCACCAGGATCACTGATAGCATTCCCTTTAATATTTAATATTTCAAGTGTATAATTATTTTCAAGAAATAATAATACAGAACCTAATGCAGGGCCCCATTTTCTTTCAGAATAACCACTAATGTTTAAAGAGGTGATGCTAGTATTATCTTTTAACATTTTACCGATAAATTCACAAGATATTTTTGCACATAGTGAACTTTTTTGAGTTGAAGATAAAGTCAATGACAATGTTTTATTATTATGTTTATTACCACTTTTATGATTTTTATCGCCATCATTATTATTATTATCATCATCATTAATGAAATTTGGATATGATAAATCTAAATGTTTTATAACTTTATTTTTTGAAAAAGCATTCAAGATTTCACCAATTTTGTTAGGATCCGTTCCCCATATAGAATCTTCCAACGACAGCCAAGGTGGAGTCCAATTTGATCTTATTGTATTACATAATTCTTTGCAACCAGTTTTAGAGCGTGATAGATAATTACCACCCGCCCATACCTTTATATGTTTAATGGCTGGAGATGTTGAAATATAAGATATTATTGAAGCTAATTTTTCACCATCCAATTTACAATGATCAATACTAAAAGACCTTAGATTATCAAATGCCGATGATTGTATGTAAAGGTATAATGGTTCTAAATATTTATCTTTATTAAGAGGTATTCCACCAATATCAAGAGTTGTCAATGAATATTCGCCTAATGTTTTAGTTGAAATTATTGGATCACCAAAAGTTTTGAGTTGAAAAATAGCTTGACTATTTCTAAGATTTAAAGTCTTTAAAAATATTGTTTTCTTTAACAAGTCGGACAAATAACTGGTTTGAATGTTAGGGTTATTTGACAAATTAAAAATTTCCAATTTTTCAGGCTGATTTTTCATCAATGCTTTGATGATTTTATTGATGCCATCAGAATCTAATTTACAATTTGAAAGATCCAATTCTTTGAATCCAATACAATGATTTTTTATGGCATTGGCTAATGACTCAACACCTCTTTTTGTTAAAATATTATTTGATAATATTAAATGCTGTAGTGAAGATTGTTGTTGCTGTTGTTGAACTGGAGCCATTATAGCGTTAGCAATAGATGAAACAGTTTCACTAGTGATCTCACATGATGACAAATCTAATTTTTTTAAATTTGGAATTGATATCAATAATTCATAAATCACAACTCCCAACATGTTTGAAAGCTTGTGACCAAGTGGATTTGGTTGGATTTGCAATTCAAAAAATTTAATATTTTTAAAACTAATTTCATAAATCAAAGGATGAAACTTTAATGAATTAAATATTGCCATTAATTCTGCACTACTGTAAAAGAAAGGATCCTGTTCAGTTACAGATGTTTTTGTTTTTGATGATGAATTGGTTGGCAAAGGAAGAGATGATGACGGTGGCGATGATGGTGGTGGTGATAATGGTGGTGGTGGTGATAGTGGTGGTGTAACGGTGGTGGTGGTAGTTTCGAGAGAATTTTTGAAATTATTGGAGTTGAAATAGAAATCTAAATTATTAGAATCTAAGTTTGCATTAGGGTTTGAAGGAGGTAACAATGTAAATCTAAAAGGCAAATTGTCACTACTATCATCATTGCTGTCAACATCTGTGATATGTTCTAATCTGAAAGCTATTCTTGAACGATTAGCTTTAAATGCATGACATTGAGCTTCTAGCATTCTTTCAAAATCATCTTTTGATAATTTACCATTATTAGATTTTTCCTGAAAAGTGATAGAAGAAGATGTAATTTTTTGTGTGATTATCAATTGATAAGTTGGATTTGGCCACCAAAAAATTATAGAGTCAATAGCTTTTTTTAATTCTCGAATTATCGTTCTATATGCTAATGAAGAAATAGTTAAGGTTCTTGTCAACAAACCTGTTCCATTCTTAAAGGACAATTGAAATTTGTCATCCCTATCATCAGCAAATATTTTGGTTAAACATAATAGTGGATATTGATATCTTTTAATGTCAATCTCCTTTGGTTTGTTTTCTTCTAATAGTAATGGATATTGTAAAGTATGATTACTCATTTTTCTATTAAATTTAAACTCGATTTTAGTAGTTGAATCTTCATTACTTGGATGACTTGATGATGTCGATGAGCCATCAAATAAACTAATAGGCATTAAATAAACATTATTTTTTCCTAAAGCTATAAATACAGGAACATCTTTTTTTGCTGATACCTTGTTGGTATGATTTTCATCAGTAATTCCTTGTAGTAAAACTTTGAATGTTATTGGGTTTTTATTATTTGTTAAATCTTGTAAAGAATTTAATTTTTGAACTAACCAATTATTTTGTCTTTTAGTCAAATGTGGACCGATGGTATTTATTGAAGATATGGTTGATCTAATTACATTTAATAGTTGTTTATGATTTTGAAGAGTTAAAGAAACTATTATTACATAAGACGTTTTTTTTTCAGATATTATATAATCTATTCTAATTGCTGGTTCTGGATCTAAGGTTTCAGTTATTGCAAACACAGTTAACAAAGAAAATAATATATTTTCTGATAGCTTATTATTATTAGTGATGGTTGTTGAAGGCGGCGTCGATTTATTATCTTTGGTAATTTCATCGAATAGTAGTTTTGCAGCTTTTTCTCCATTTTTAAAGCTCAATAAAAAGTGTTTAGTTAAAATTAAAAAATTATTTCTTGATAATTTTTTAGATGCGGCAGAATTTAATTTTGAAATTTTACATTCAAATATTATATATTCATTATTTCCTGGTAAAGGAATGTTTAAATCACATAATATTCTTTCGTTTTTAGAAGGTTTGATTGTTTTTAATGAGTCTTTTATTGACCCAAATGATTTAAATTTTTTAACAAACTTATTTCTATTGTTGTTGTTGTTGTTGTTGTTGTTGTTGTTATTATTATTATTATTATTATTATTATTATTATTATTATTATTATTATTATTATCATTATCATCACCATCACCATTACCATTATCATATGAAGTTATTTGTTCACTTTCATGTACCGTAATTGTAGTTACTGTTTGAAATGTGATTGAAGTCGGGGGAGTTATTGAAGTTGGAGATGATCTTTGTGAATCTGTTGTAGATGTCGTTGTCATTATTGAAGGTGTTGTTATTATTGGTGAGAAAGCTGTTACTGATGCTTTTGGTGATGAAAAATTACTAAGATTATCACTAATAATATAGTTGATATTGTCGTCGTGGTCCCTGAACTCTTCTTCGTTATTCACTGGCGTCGCTGATTTTTTAATCCAATATGGATCATGATTATTACTAATATCTACGCTATTATAGTTGTTGCTGTTGTTGTTGTTGTTGTTGTTGTTGTTGTTGTCGATTTTTTCACATTCATCACCACTATTATTATTACTCGATTGACCATTTTTTGATGAAGAAGTATAAAATGAAGACGATGATGATAAATCAGTTTCATCAATATTTTCATACTCTTCATTATTATTATTGTTATTACTATCATTTTCGTCAGCGGATGAATTACGGTTATATTTCGAGATCAGTGATATTATAGAATTACGTGTATAATCATCATTATCGTTAATCTTTAATAATGAACTTGCTAATGCGAGACCACCTTTTTTATCATCTTTATTATTATCAATATTATTATTATTATTATTTCCAATACTACCACCGGTAATGTCACCGTCAACAGACATCATCTTTATTTATTATATTAGGATAAAACGAATGAATTTGTTTAAAGTGAAGGCGAGAAAAGGATAAGGAATGTGAATGTGTAATAAAAAATTGGTTTAAAGGATAATTTATGAATTAATTTTAATGACTCCTTTTTTTTATAATTTTTTGAATAATGAATGCAATGAATTAATGAGTGAATGTATGAATGTATAAGTGTATGAATGAATGTATGTATGAATGAATGTATGAGATTTTTTTTGAAATTAAATTTAATAAAAGAATTTGATATCAAAGAAAATCAATAATTTTGAGCCCTTTATTATGTAACTAGTTCAATATCTATCTTCTAAAATACTTTACATGCACATGTTCACCTTCTTTAATATTAATATACAAATTTATCTCTCACCTGTATGTGATTATTACCTATGGTAATAGAAAATGACTTGGCATATATAAATTGACTTACTTCATTACGAATTATAGTAAAATAAAAAAAACCAAATCCACACGACACGATACAAGGAAATATATTGGCTGTATTTTGGAAAACTACATGTGTTTATTATCAATTGTATTTTATTAAAATTAAGAAAAAGTTTTTTGCAAAAGAAATGAATATATTAAATGCGTCCGAGTCACCAAAGATAATTAATAATAATTTCCGCGAAGAGATGTTTACGCTTTACTTTCGAAACTATCTCCCACTCTGTCTAGGTTTCACTCGTTAATAATATCTCGCTAAAAGAAAAGAAAAACAAAGAAAAACAACTATGTAGGATTAATATTACCAAAGAAAAAGTTTCTTGTCAAAGATATGTTTATTGTTATTATGTTATACAGTTACAATAAGATAAAGTTGTGACCAAAAAAAAATATAGTTAAGAAAATTATAACGTTATTTATATGTTCTAAAGGTTCAGTCATCTAGTTCCCTTATCTCCGAGAACTCTTGAAACTTTTAAATTGAATGAATGATTTTAAATAGAATGACGTAAGTTGGGATGTTAGTATTAGTATTATAATCAGAGCCGGTCGCGTAACCTAAATAAGCATTTGGCTAAACTAAATAGTCATTATTATTATTACTATGAATTTTTCTTAGTTGACGAAAATTAAAGAAATTCACAAACCTTATATCTTATTGTGTCTCGACGTTAAACACGAGTATTTTTAATGTGTAAACTGGTCGGTATAATGATAATTAACCCTAAAAAATTTTATTTGCTTCGCTAAAAATCTATTTTACTATTCAACAGCCCGTCAAACTAATGGCCCACCTCAAAACCATGGGTTTTTGCTAGTATAAAGTATTCATAACATTATGATCATATCGTACTGAATTTTAGGGTCAGCGCATATGTTGGGCAAACTTCGCTACTAATATAGTCAAAACTCAAACTTGATCTGAAATAAAAATAAAAGTAGAATTATTTTGCAAAGCTCGAAATGGTGTTGATTGGTGTGTGCAGCGCCACTTTTCTAAGCGATACTTTTTAATTTACATTCTTTCACATTAAATACCTATTTAATGTGTGTAACAGGGCTGGCTGCGTAACCTAAGTCATTATTGTTAAGTCAATTTAGTCAAGACAGTTATTAGCAAATTAGGAATTTAACTCTTTTACGTGTGCAATTAATGGCATACTAAGTATTTTACCAAATTTGGATCCCCTTTGTTGATCAAATTCATATACAGTTCATTCTCTCTATATAATATAACGATTTTTTTTATAATCATGTCAAATAATAACACACGTCCATTAATAGTTGGACAAGAATTTCCAGTGACACCTTATCCAGTTAAGATGAAAGGTGAAGTGATCAAAGGATTTGGACGTGGTAGTAAAGAACTTGGTATTCCAAAAGGTAAATAGACATGCTGATGATTTTATATGAATTCAAAAAAACTTTTCTTGATGTAAAAAAATATGATTCAAATGGAAATTTCTCATAGTACCGTTCCCTTGCAATCAAACCCACTTAATATATAACATTTATAACATTTATTTAATAACATAGCAAATTTACCAGAAGCATCATTTGAAGAAATTTGTAAATGTATGGAACCAGGAATTTATTATGGATGGGCACAAGTAATTTTTAATGACAACGATGATGACAATTATGATGCTGATGATAATATCAGTAATAGTAATATATTAGCAACGATAATAGCAATCTGGATTCAATGGTAATGAGTTTAGGATGGAATCCATATTATAAAAATGAGAAAAGGAGTGCGGTGGGCATCGATTAATGATATGTGAGAAATATGAGAAAAGTGATGAAAAGACAATATATTATACATATAATGCATTTATCTATTACAAATATTTAATCATTTTATTAATTAATTTATTAATTAGGGGGCCCATGTAATGCATAAATTTTTAGAGGAATTTTATGGAAAAGAGTTACGAGCGATTGTTTTAGGTTATATTAGGCCAGAACGTGATTATATTTCAGTTGGCAAGCTTGCATAAATTAAATATTAAATATTAAAAATATTATTAAAATGCAAGATTCATTATTAACATTAACATTATTAATGTAGTTAGATTCATTTATTCAAGATATTAATTTTGATATAAAGTTGCAGAGAATTCACTTGCAAAAGATTCCAATGTTAGTTATAAGAACGATCCATTTTTCATGATATTAAATCATCAATAAACAAACTTGAAACATGGAGAATAACATTTATTTTTACGCTAACCAAAGACTCATATAAATAATTAAATAATTAAAAATATTTTTTACCTCCTTGAAAAAATCCTCATTTCAATACATATATACAGTCAAAGTTCTATATAACGAACCCCCTGGACCGAGAATTTTGGTTCGTTATAGAGAGCGTTCACTTGTAAAGAATTGTTGATCATCTCATTTCATGGTTACGTGATCGTCTTTTGAATAATTTATTGGCTAATAAATTTTTTTTATGTTAAATAATAAATGTTTATGTAGCATAGTGTAAATTTTGAAATGTTACAATGTAACTTTACAATACACAGCAAACATTCTGGCAATAAAAAGTAAGTGATAAATTAGATTAGAATTGGATCTGAACTTGATCTCCAATTTAGAGAAGTAACAACTATATACTGGTGAAGTTTCAAGAGCAATGGGTAACAAAAAACTTTGTTTAAGTTACATGGGAGTTCGTTATATATAGAGAGCATCATTTATTATATAAATTTGCATTTGGTTTCCTCAAAGACAGTTCGTTATACAGAATAGAGAATTTAATTATAAAGTTCGTTATAGGGAGCAAATTTAATTAACAAAAATCGGGACCAAAATCTTAGTTCATTATATAGAGCAGTTCGCTTCTCGGAGGTTCGTTGTAGAGAGCTTTGACTGTAAAATTATTTTTATCTTGAACTGGTATTAGTATTACTTTCCATATCCTATTTGATTGAATGAATAATTCTCATATTAAAACCTACTTAAATAAATATATAAATAATTAGCAGTTGTTTAATGACAAACAGAGAATGGAAAAAATACTTGCCTGAAATAATTATACCATAATTTCAAGGTTTCGTAAATTTAATAATATGTTCCATATTTCTGGTAAAAATATTTACAATCAGGTCGTAATTATCTTTTAACATTTTGAAACACTGGTATGTATCTGATGAGTCTTTATCTTCGATTTTTATCCATGGAGTCCAACATGCTTCACCAGAAGGAATTCGAAATTTACTGATTTTGGATCACAGTATGATTTTTTTGTTAATAATGTAACATCGGATTTTCTGCCAAGCCTCTTTTCTAATAAAAAAACTGTTAATGCTACTTATTAAGTTTTCTTATGTGAAAAATCACTTATTTAGAAATTTACATTTTGTTCATCAATATTATTTTCATCCTTTTTTTCTTCATTTACTTTCAGTACTAATTCTTTCACAACTATTAAATTAATATATAGATTCCAGTGTACATGCAATTCCTACTAAATATGTATAAACAAAACAAAATATGCATTTATGAACATTATTAAATCTAACTCTGTTATATCACGATTTGCAATAGTTAAAGCTCCGAACGGTTTTGGTTCAAACCGAAATTTTTGGTTCGACACAAAAAAAATTTTTATTTTTCAAGTACAGTCAAATCCTCGTTTCAACGAACTTCCTTCCAGCGAATTATAATTAAATTCACGTTTCGACAAAAATTCGTTGAAACACGATTGGTAATCTCGTTAATAAATAACGATCAACTTGTGCCTCAGCTTTTTATCAATACAAATATTCAACAAGAATTTCAATAGTACCCACTAGGTATTTAATATTGATGCTAAATTTTTTTTTCTTTGATGGTTGCGTAACAATAATCTATCGTTTAACCGTAGATTTGTTTAAAAACATTAATACAATGTTGTATACAATAATAATAATTATTAACAGTACATAGTATTATTGTCTCTTAATACCAACTAGAATATTTTTGATGGTCGCGTAACAATTATCCATCGTTCAACCATATAAAACAACATTAATACAATGTGTATTAATAAAATTCTTTTTAGTGAATGAATGAGTGAAATGAAATAAACCAAGGACCTTTATGTCAAAAATCCATCATCCGTAAGTATTAGTAATCACAATCATAATTCTCACTGTCTCTATTATATATAAACAGTAATGGCAAATTCAAGACCCAAAGCAAAAGATTTACCATGTTTGTTTGGAAGAATATCAAAACAGTTGAGTCAAACTAAATTAAAACAGTGATGGCATTATCTATTAGACGAGAAATCAATTGAAAAAGTGATGTAAGACATTACAATTAATTTGTTAATTACAATGTTTTACTTTAATTTTATAACGTATGCTTTTATCCTAGGCCTTTATTATTATTATTATTATTCGTTTGCTGAGAAATACTCAAAATATTCAAAAGCGGTTAAAACCATGCGGATAAACTGAAAAGTATATTAGGAATGCAAAGAAAATAAGATAAAGGGATTTTTTTAATTGCTCATATAATTTCTTATTGCTATTCATAAGGTTTTTGTAAAAAAAGGATGCCACATGCTATAAATATTATTATTATCACTAGAATGACAATAAGTTAAAATGATCGCAATCACTGCCACCATTCTTTAAATAATAACTAGAATGATGACGAGTTGTAATGATTGCAGCCACCATCATTTTCCTTTAATCATAAATAATTGACAAAAGAATTACGAAATTTTGTTCCACGTGATAATAAATGAAATTTTGCTCCACGTGATAAAATGTATTGACCAATAATTTCTATTTGCTTTTTTTTGTTACGTGTTTTATACCTTTTTTTTTTCTTTCAAGTAGTAGAAGAACTAGAAGCACTATAGAAACTTGTCTTTTTTTTGGGGGTTTTTTTCTTAAATAAATTTATTATAACTTTCTAGATTGTTTATTTGTTTATAAAAAAAAAAAGAATGTTCGGGAATCAAACAGATACAAAAGTAATGTTTACTTCAATATATATATATATATGCATGTTATGATAATATATCCTATTTACACGTATAATATTATATCCATTTACTTTATGTTTACATGAAAATAAAAAAAAGGATGTTTTAAAATTTCAACAAAAAGTGAAGGAGACATTAGAAATATTTAAAGTTAAAGAATCTGAACATAATTGGGAAAAATTTAATAAAGCATTAATAGTATTAATTGAAATTACTAGAAAAGGTGTTATTCATTATGAGGATATTTTTATTGATGGAATAAAATTTTTAAGACAACCAATTGAAAATTCTGTAAGTGTAATATATAAAATTTTTTTTTAAAAAAAAACTTATAAAATAAAAATAAAAATAATTAATGTTATATTATAAAGTTACTTACAGATAGATCAAGATTATCTGGCACAGCAATTAATTTGATTGAAGAAATCTTTAAAGCACTTGGTACAAAATCTAAATCATTAACTGAAATATTTGCACCCAGCATTCTAAAACTTTGCAATCGTGCAAATAAATTGTTTGTCAAAAGAGCAAATGATTGTTTGGACACGATAATTCGTAATTCAAAATCACCAAGTCTCATTCCAAAATTTAAAGAAGCAATGCAGAGTCAAAACAAACAAATGAGAACTAGTGCTGCACAGTTGACTTCAGTATTGTTGGAGACTGTTGATGTTAATGGATTGAACCATCATTATATTGAGGATTTGGAATCGATGATACATAAAGGCGCTGCAGACTCGGAGCCAGCTGTAAAGAATGCATCCAGAAAATCTTTTGATTTTTATAAATCAAAATTTGATTTTAGATTAGACAAGTAAGTGTTTTTATTTTGTTTTTGCTAAATACACACACACACACACACACACACATATATTTGAATACAGAAGTATTGACACTAATAAATAATTTTCTGTTAGTTTTGTGGCTAGGCTATCTCCTTATGAAAAGAAAAGTCTTGGTATTATTGAAGATTATCAACAACAGCAGCAACCGCATTCAAAAATTTTACGTCAATCCATTTCTTTAACATCCATCAATAGGAATCAAAATATTATTAACAATAAGAAACAAAATATTAACCTTAATACAAAAGAAAACGTTAATTTAAAAACAACAGTCGACAATGTTAATCTCATTACAACAAAAGAAAATATTAACCTCAATACAAAAGATAATCCACTATTATTAGTTGACAATCTTTTGGAAAATTTTTCTTTACTTACTGAAGAAACTGAATTTAAATCCTTAATATCACCTACAAAAATTCCTGACCCAGTTACACGTGTCACGGATAATAATAAATTTCAATCATCATCTTCTCTTTCATCGACCACTAATGCTAAAAATATTATTGTAGGAAACAAATCAAAGTTTACTACTACTTCTACTAAACGACAACAACAACAACAACAAGAATACAAACACAGAACATTTCATCATGTTTCGTCGTCAAAACCTACGAGATCAGTCAAAGCTTCATCATCTACTACTGCAGGTGAGATTCAATATTTCTTAAAATTATAAAATTTTTGAAAAAAATTTTTTAATTAATTATTAATAGTGAAGTTTGTTTAAAAAAAAAAAAATCTAAAAGAGCGTAATGTAACTAGCACAGATAGTAAACAAAAGATTATCAATAATCGAGTGTTGAATGCTAGTAAGTTTCAAAATCGTAATGACAGCCAAAAAACTACACGTACAGCAGTAGCATCAGCAAATGCTACAACAGCAACAACCAGACCATTAAAACTTAGTGTTAAAAGAAAATCATCAACAGATTTATAAATAATTTTTTGTTATTACAATTACAAATAATTATTTTGGTCGCCTTTATGAAACAATTTTCTTTAATTTTTTTAAAAATGTGTTATTTATTAAATGCAAGGAATATAAAGCTCGATAATAAACATATAATTATGGAAATCAAGGTTATTTATAACAGGAATAAGAATAATTTCCTTCTCTGGTCTTTATTCAAATGGATGTTGATTTTATTCAACACAAAAATTTGACAGGGCCCAGATTATTATAATTGAGGCAAAGCCCTAAATTTTAAACCCACAGGGTGCATTTACAAATTAGACCTCTCGTACTATATAGTTGTTTTGTTTGTTTGATTAAATGTTTTTATTTATTTTATTAAAGATTTATTCGCATAATTTAATAAATATTATAGTTAACCTTAATTGCTACAGAATAATAAATATAAAGTACTCGAAATAACTGAAACAATAATTAAAGATCCCTTCCAATGTGAAATGTTTATAATTGAAATCTTGATAGCGGATGATAGCGGTGAAATATTAGGTTTAACTTTTTGACCACTGGAAGCTAACATTACTCCTCCGTTTGCTGTTTCATTCCAACCTGCTGGTGGGTCATGTAACTCGATACTAAATGGACCATATGTGCCACCTAAAGGCGGTGTTTGACCAAAAATACCTGATCGTGAAATTGTTTCAACCCTTATAAAGAAATTTGAGTCATTCGTAATTCTTGGATCATTTAAATACGGTGTAATCCTTTTTTAATGAGTGAAGAAGCGTGATGAGTGCGTGAGGACACTGCAATATTTATTTACTTGGACGTAAAAATATATACGCACGTAAAATAAATAATTTCTTACCAATCATAATTGTTTGTTGTGTTTGTAAGATTTGTAGCAATTGTATATGGTCCCCAATCGTATGTGATCTTTCCATTAGGTGAATAATCTCTTTTGAATAAATCTCGTTTTTTTGCATCAGGGACAATTTGCAAATTATTATACAAAAATACATGAAACATTCCAACAACCCTTGCGCTCATTTGACAAGGTGATTGATTCCATGATATACGTTGTTTGCTTTCAGGTAAAATCATCGTATTATTTGGTGGTCCACTTTTTTACGTTTGTAAAAATTAATTTTTTAAAAATTATCAAAAATCACAAAGTCTTTTTTCATTGTTTTAAATACTCAACTTTACTAAAATACAAGCCTTTTCTTTTTCTTGCCAAGCAGTTTTACGAATATCCGGTGCAGGCGATGGAGCTTTACCAATCGTATACATAATGTATAAATGATTTATGATTCATGCAAGGTTCGTTTGTAATTATCAAAAGAAAAAAATATATTATAAAATCATACTTTTTCCAGCACCAACAGGCGCTTCATTAGAACTTCCAGTAGATGGTGGAGGTACTTTACTTTGAGGTGAATTAGCAAGAGATTTATTGCCACTGGCAGCTGGGCTTTGGCCGGAACCTCCCTCTTGAGGATTTGGTGATGGCGATGCTGTCAGTTGACCACCGCCACCACCTGTAAATGGTACTAGTGCATTACCTAGATCAAATCCACCATTACCACCAGATTTTGGATTACTACCTCCGATTAAACTTGATGGATCAAAACCACCACTGCCACCATCATCACCATCAGGCATTCCTCCAGACATACTAGGCGGTACACTACTACCACTGCCACCTTTTGGACCTCCCGGGAATTGCGCAGAACATAAAAAGATAAATGTTGCTAGTATCACGATAAATAATTTCACATGATTTATTATAATAATTTTCATTGTTTTTAATTTTTTTTAGCAAACACTTATTTACATGATTTATATTTATTTGTTTTATTATTATTGAATGATTGATTGATGCGATTTAATTATGCTTGGAAATTGATTCTTAAAAAAAAAAAAAATCTTCAGCATCATTATTTCTTGTTTTCAATTGATATTATTATATTATGATCATTCGTCACTCTTCATTATAAAGACTGAAAAAGGTTCATTCATGTTATTTACTATCAATGATGTTTTTAAAGAAACAAAAAATCATCTTGTAAATTAGGGAGGGATCTACATTATCTATTTAGCCGCGGTTGGAAATTTTCCAAGTCAGTCGGCATAATTTTCTACCATTGAGGCATCCTTTTTTAATACTACCATGAACTCTTGTTAAAATACCATGGTTTATCAGATGATTTCTGATATTTCAACATAAGTTTCTTGACAAAGGAGTGTATTGTGATCCCAGTTCTTTTATTTCTTTTCAAGGCGTCGACATCCGAATTTGAATCATATAATTTTGGCCCAAATTATCATTCACGTGCCAAATATTAAAAAGAAAATTAAATCATCAAACTTGTTGCTGCTAATATGAAATAACCAACCATCCTTTCTTCTTATAAGCTTTCTCTAATTAGTTGAGCAAGCCCATTTTAGCAACCAAAGATGACTTTAAACACCAAAAATCATTACCGTTACTCCAAGGATTAATTGTACCAAGAGGTCAAAGTTATCTTCTACCTAAAACTTTATTGTGAATTGAAATTAAAGCTCCATGTGAGCCAGTTCACAAGCTGTATAGCAATTACATTTGGAAATGTCCTCAAGAAAATATCTCAAATGCCTTTAATTCCATACCAATGAAGCAAGTCAGAAGATATGCATTAAGAGCTTCAAAGCACGTGGATTACTACAGAAAGGATTGACTTTATTGCTGCTGAATCTTCAATTAAAAGATATAAATCCCATTGAAGAATTCACAAAAAGAAATTGATTATTGATTTTGAAAGTCATGTGATAAAATTGATAACTATTACTATGTAGTTTCCGGGGTCCTCTGAGAACTAATTGTCAAAAAAAAAAATTTAAGATTTTATTTTTTTTAAACTTGATGCTTACTTCTAAAGAAGTTTCACGAGAACAACTCCATCATAATAATCATAAACCATAAATATGGCATACCGAATTACACCAAACTTACAGGAGACAATCAACCTTTATGCAAAAATTCCACAAACCGGTGTGTCATTAAGACAGATGGTTATGTTTGGTATGCATGTTTAAATAAAAAAAGAATGATCTAATATATTTGGAGAAACTTATTAAATTATTAAATTATTTGAAACATTAAAAAAAATGAACAATGAATCTAGGCCAAACCCCCTCTCAAGGAACTTTATTTAGAGCTAATCAATTTTTGGCAGGTGAATCATAAAAATAAAAACATAAAAGTTAATTATTATTGTTATCATTAACATTTATAACAACAACATTAATGATAATATTATAATTGATAGATGAATTGCCGATTAGATTAGCACACAATGTTAAAGAATTAGATGATTTGCCTCATAATTTTAATGAAATGTCATCTATAATTAAAGTAAAGAATTGGTATGCTCAATCTTTTATGGTATGATTACATTGAAAACTAACAAAAATCTTTTACAATTTGGATATTAAAAAAATTTTTCACGTATTTTTTTCATAATTCAATGAATTTAATAATTAGTAATAAATAATATTATTTTAGGAATTAATAAATTTTCCTAAATTAGAATTATCACAAAATATTAAAGATATAATCGTACCTGGTTCTGGTGAACAAACTAAATCACCTGAAAATGCACTTAATCAATCATTAAAACCATCATCAAATACTACGGCATCTATAAATTCAGCCATACCACTTGATCACAGGTATTAAGATGTTTACTATTACTATTACTATTACTGCGATTATGAATATAATTTAGTATATTCATTCATTCACATACAAACATATACACAAATATATGCATAGATATTATTCAAAGATTGATGAGATTGATTGGCCACCGGAAGTTCGATATTATAATGAAAAATTTACAAAGTTAATCGAAGGAATTAAAAGACGACACGATCCTGTTGTGACTACTGTGGTATGGTGTTCGTTCATTATTGGATTTGATTTTTTTGAAAAAATTTTTTTCTAACTATAAATATTCACAAGTTTTATCAATTTTAGGGTAAGGAATTTATTTTTTAATTTTTATTTATACGAAGAAAAGAAGGCATACTCCTTTATTTAATTAAATAAAAACATATGTGTGTGAGTGGATGGTATGTTTGTTTTTATATTATATAAAAATTACGATAATAACAATTTTGTCATTGTCATCACCATCACCATTATATCATTTATTAGCTCAAGGAATACTTGAGTACAAAGCAAAAAGAAATAAAAATATTATAGATGTGGATATTCAATCATTTTTGGATCGTTTCTATATGTCGCGTATTGGAATCCGAGTATTAATTGGTAAAATATATAAATATTATCATATTATTGTATCATTATTATTACCGAATAATTAATTATTAAAATTTTTTAAAGGTCAACATGTAACATTGAATAGACTACCATCAAGATCAGATTATGTAGGAATAATTTGCACCAAAACAAATATAGGACAAGCTGTTCAAGAAGCAGCTGATAATGCAAAATTTATTTGTGAAGAATATTATGGATTGTTTCGTGCACCTGAAATTCAATTATACTGTCCTGATGATTTGAACTTCACATATATACCGACTCATCTGAGTCATATGCTTTTTGAATTATTGAAAAACAGTTTACGTGCTGTGGTTGAGTTGTCAGGTGGTGATGATGTTGATGAATATCCACCAATCAAAATTATTGTTTCTAAAGGACAAGAAGTATGATATATAAGTAGATTATTATTATAAATTATTATTATCATATCTCTATAACTGTTTATTACTATTATTATTTTAGGATATAACCATAAAGATATCAGATGAAGGAGGTGGTATTCCAAGAAGTAGCATTCCTTTAATTTGGACATATATGTATACAACAGCAGAACCAAAAAAATTAGATCCAGACTTTGATCAAAAAGAATTTAGGGCACCAATGGCTGGTTATGGTTATGGATTGCCAATTAGTAGACTGGTATAATATCTTTCTATATATATGTGTGTATATATATATATACACACACACATACACTAAATTAACAATTTTATCCTTTTTTAAAAAAAATAGTATGCGAGATATTTTGGCGGTGATTTAAAATTGATTTCAATGGAAGGGTAAATGTTATATATGTGCCATCTATTTGTGAATTCGTTTGTAACCAATATTTTTAAATTCTAATATATCTATATCTATTTTGAATAGGTTTGGAACAGATGTTTATCTTCATTTGAATCGTCTTTCAAATAGTGATGAGCCTCTTTATTAAATTTTATGAAATCAACACATATATATTTATATATAATTTTTGTATGTGCTTATGTGTATATATGTTTCATGTGGATGGACATTTATTTTAATTAGGCGTAATGGGATTGATTTTTACAAAAAATTATATATAATTTGCAAAAATACATATTTACTTAATTTAACAATATAAATAAAAAAAACTTTATTTAATAAATGACCGTATAACAAATTGTTATGCGGAGATTTTTTGGGCAGTGTCTGGACGTCTGGGACTGGTAGTACAAGCCGCAAGTTAACCTCCACATATTATTATAACCAATATTAAATTAAACCAAAGCAATTCAAAACCCATTTATAAAGCATACGTTAAAAAATCAGCAGGAGAGGAGGGAAGAAAAAATGGTTTCCAAACAAAAAAGATAGCATCTAAAGAAATGTCTAATTTAAAATAAAATATGGGGCGGAAAATTAGCGCAACTCAATAAAAGCAAGATCGAGAAAATTATTATAAATGGGCATACTGCAACAAAACCAGACAATGCGAACATTAGTATTACCAAGGATTTCAGGGATCAAAATTTAGTCATTTGTAATATCCCATTTTGTTATCAAGTGATATATAGAACTATCCCTATATAAAAATAGTTAATATGAAATGGAACCCAAGAATTTATAGTACTATCAGAATTTTAAAAAAGAAAAAATTGCTCCTTATATTTTTAAATTAGCAGATACTAAACCCTTGCAAACATGTTAGATAAAGAAAGGATTACCTATGAAATTTACCAAGAAGAAAGAAAAATCATAAACATTAAGAAAAGAAAGCAGAATGAAGATGTGCTATTATCCAGCAAAAAGCAGAAACTTTTCTTATTTTCAATCAAGGTCATTTCTTAGTTTCTTTAATTTCGATTTGAGCAATTTTTTTGACGGACACATGAATACTAGAAAAGGATGGGAAATGGTACGGGTGCTCTGCAAAATAGTATAAAAAGGACGGGCAATTAACAAGGGACGTATGTGGCACAGCGACACGTCCTCCGTCCTTTTCTATTATTATTCATAGTAATAGTACTATTACTATTGATCTGCGTGACATGTCCTGTGACTGTTATATGCGGATTTTTTAACCGTTATTTTGAAAACTTTGTAACAAATTTCATAATAATAATAAATTTTTCACGACTAGCAATGATTTGAATCATAATGGGTGCCTTCAAAAATTATTATATTGAGATTGAGATTGAATATTTGATTGGATTGAGATTGGATTGAAATTGAA